GAACTTGGCTGTATTTCGAATGTTGGGTAGACAACTTCTGAAATCTCCCATTCTAAGAAGTTTAAAATTTCGCATCTGTCACAACACGCCATTTTATTAGCAAAATTTCGTTCGAGTCGTTACTTCACAAGATTTGTGAATTTGAGTCACTAGCAAGGAAGCTTGTTCGCTTTCTTAGTAACGACTCAAAACCACCAGTTTAATAGCATCAATGCCTCTTACCCACAAGCTATAACAATGGGACAATAGTATGTCTAAGAGTTAATATCTCAGGATGAGGTAATGATTAAGAAATAAGATTTGATACGGTAGCTTGAGGCATAAGAGGCATTGATGCTATTAAACTTTGGTGGTTAACCGAACTAATTTCTAATCGAGTGCAGTGGGACTGATTTCTTCGTAATATTAGACGTAATAAAGATAGAAATTTTTCCAGTTCAATGAGAGTTACTGAAAAGTAAATTTTGGAAATTTCCTTGGACACCTGGTCCTAAAACGAATTAGTTAGAAAACAAACGACGGACAATGTATTAAGTTTAACATGTTTAGATTTTTACAGCTATGGCGAGAAACGTTTAAAATTTACAACAATCTATCGTGTCCTTTAAGGTATACTAGTGATGCGACAAAAAAGGCATTTGACATTGACCAGTATCGGCACCCTCGGGATTTGGCAGCCCGCGTGCATGTATGCACTGCAGGATGGTCTCTGATTCCATCCATTAGCCACTCGTAGGAAGCTATTTGACTAAGTGGATTGTCTTAAGATTTAAAACGTAAAGAATATTTTGTTATTTTTATGTACGTTTCTTTACAAAGCTATACAGTATTTAATTATAATTTTCTTTAAAAGTATATTCGTGCAATTGAAGAATATTTTGTACCAGGTATGTACCGGCACATCCACCACACATTTTATTTCACCAAGTTTTTATTATTTTATTTTTAATTGTAGCCCTTATATCGTGGCTAGCGATTCAGAATGTAATCTATATATATATAAATGAATGTATGTCTGTCTGTCTGTCCGTCTGTCCTTCGTGCATTACTAAACCATTTATCCGACTGCCATGAAACTTTGGGAAGTTGTTTAATTAATTTTAATATACTCCCGCGAAGGTTTCTGGCATAGTACATTTATCCTACGATAGATGGCGCGCATGTATACGAGCATTTCAGCACGGTTAGGAGTGTGGCCGGATGGCCGAGCGGTCAAGATGGCAGCCTGCCGCTCTGGGGGACCCAGGTTCGATCCGAACGGGTCGAAAAATCCCCAGGAATTTTTCGGAGGTGGTCCGTTCGGATATGTCGGGCCCCGCCCCTCATTACCCGGCAGCCCCATTGTGGGCCTGGCCGAACCCATAATGGGCTTGCAAAAGAGGCCCTCTTAGTGCCCACAGGGCGGAAAGGGTTTAAAAAAAGCATGGTTAGGAGTTGAAACTTGAAATTTGGTACACAGTTAAGCTGGATGCACACATGCGGCGCGGCAAGGAAAAGCGGTGTCGCAAACGCATCTTCGCCGCGCGGCGGCAATCCGCTTACATTTCGGCGCATGTGTTCAGTATTCAAGACGGCGAACGATACCGATATTGTCGCTATCCACGTGTTTACAAATTTTGTTTTGTACGGCTTGCTTTATTTAGAAGATTTTGTCGAAGTTTCGAACGAAGATTTTGGATTAGAGATATTTTCTCGGATTGATAAAGAACTGGTGTACAAAATACGCTTATTCCTCGATAAAGAATACTATTTCGAGTAAGATTCGGTTGTTTTGTTCTTTGAATTAAATTATATATGATTATTTGTGTAGAATTTGTGTTAAATTTATTATCCTTTCCCAGTGGCGTAGCGTGGGTGTCAGCCGCCCGGGGCGGAGGAAAATTTCGCCGACCCCTTATTTAGGTATCTCAATTTAAAAGACTAAAATTCAGTTTCGTCACAGAATAAGTAATGAAAAATTCCGTGCTAGTGCTGCCACCTTTTTAAAATCGCCGACCCTGACAGCAGGTGAGGTTTGTTCGAACAGAAGTTCCTGACGCATGCGTATATCATTTTGCAATGAAGAATAATTTGCAGTGCATGCTGGTTCTAAATCAGTTACAGTTAGCGACTAGGGAGACTTGGGTAAGAGTAACGCAAGTAATGTAGATGACTTAACCCTATTGGATATTAGAGGTGTATATGAGTACGAATTAACCGTACAAGGGAAAAAAAAGGTCGACAGGTTGCGCACGATATACCCGGATGGCGAGTCGGATTCCCACTATTCAGTGCTCATTTCAATCGGTCCGAATCGTAGGTGGACGAAAATATGAAATAAAATGGTTCAAATTCTTACAAGATATTATTATTATTTATTGTCAAATTTTGCCTCCCCCTAAAACGTAATTTTGTAGCCCCCTAAAAAGTGCCGCCCGGGGGTCGCTCCTGCTGCCCCCACTACGGTACGCCCAAGGACAATATACTACAAGGATAGCCAGATCCCTATTCTACAATGTTAGCCAGGAATGGCAAGTTAGTGACGTCACACGTGTCCTGACCTCTTTGTTTACCTAGAGCAGGGTGTGCACGTGTTTAGTTTTCGCTTTTAATATTCGTCCAATTTTGTGATTAACGAAGTGATTTATTTTAATATTTCTGTAATTGTTTTATTTGACTAAGTTTTTTATAAGGTAAGATGATTTAAATATAAGTCATTAAATATTTAAAGCTATATTTTTAT